ACTGGATCCACCGTTGTCTTGGCAACATCACCTTATGGGTCAATAATCTGATGAGGTACTAATATACCCAGGAAGTGTCTTCTTTTTCAATAACTGACTGTTTCCCTTTTTATTCTACAGCTTCTATGCCTATGCTTGTTTTCTTCATTATCAGTTCCCATTTAGCAGTGTTAAAAGCTTTTAACTTGCGAAGAGATGAGTTCAAATTTGTATGAGATTGCTAAAAAAAATCAAAGGATGATGTCAGGTATGTCTGACATGGCATCCATGTTTAGTTTTACCCCAATTTCCAAGTCTTTAGTTCATAGAATAATAGAATATCCTCCGTTGGAAGGGACTCACAGGGATCACCAAGTCCAACTCCTGGTCTGAAGCATTGTCCAAATGCTTCTTGAACTCTGTCAGGCTTGGTGCTGTGACCACTTCCCTGGGGAGCCTGCCCAGCCACCCTCTGGGTGAACAACCTTTTTCTAATATCCAACTTAAACCTTCCCTGACACAACTTCAGGCCTTTCCCTCAGGTCCTGTCATGGGTCACCAGAGAGAAGAGATCAATACCCCCCCCCTTCCACTTCCCCTACAAGAAGTTGTAGACTGCAATGAGGTCTCTTCCAGGCTGAACAAGCCAAGTGTCTGATCTCAGCCACTCCTCATCCAGCTTGCCTTCACCATCCTCATGACCCTCCTTTGGACACTCTGTAATAGCTTTATGTCTTTTTTATATTGTGGCACCCAAAACTGCACACAACATTCAAGGTGAGGCCGCCCCAGCGCAGAGCAGAGCGGGACAATCCCCTCCCTCGACGGCTGGCGATGCTTTGCCTGATGCCCTCCAGGACACCATTGGCCCTCCTGGCTGCCAGGGCACTGCTGACTCTTACTCAACTTCCCATTGACCAGGACCCCCAGGTCCCTTTCCATGGCACAGCTTTCCAGCATCTCATTCCCCAGTCTGTACAAACATCCAGAGCTACCCCATCCCAGGTGCAGAATCCGGCACTTTCATTTGTTGAACTTCACGTGGTTGGTGATTGCCCATCTCTTCAATTTTTCAAGGTCTCTCTTCAGGGCCTCCCTGCCTTCGATGGAGTCAACAGCTCCTCACAATTTAGTATCATTAGCAAACTTACCTAGTATGGCTTTGAGTCCTGCATCCAAGTGATGTTATTCTTCTCTTCAAAATTTCTTCTAAAGCCCTGCATGGTACTCAAATCAGGTTGCAGGGCTCAACTCACTAGTTTACATTTTTTTCCCTTCCCTTTGAGGACTGTGTTTGCCACTTCTCAGTTATGTTATCTTCTTCAAATTCATAGATACATGACAAAACTAGCTATCAAACCTAGATTCATATGCTGATTCTTGCAATGTTTTTCCGATAGAGATTATCTACTTTCTGCTGAATGTGCTAAGCTCCTGGAGTTTTCTTTCCATTCATTTGCTATTTTTATATCTATGTGATATAGATAATTCCCGGTATGTGCCTTTTCTTCTTTTTCAGTATTGTCCTACTTGTAGAAAACTGATTATTTCTTCAGTTATATCTAGAATCAATTTAATCACTATCCAATGTCATTTCATGATAACTTCAACTTTATTTCCTTTTTAATATTGTTTATATTAAAATTGTTGATATTTCCAGGGTCAACATTACCTTGATTTTTGGTAATTCTTCCTTTATATCTTCACTTCCTGGCCTTCAAAACATAATTTTCTTTTTTTGATATATATTTCCTCCTATGCTTTATGAGTTCCTTGTCTATATATAAGAACCTACTTTGTGTTGTCTATTCCAACTAGAGGATGGTTTGCAATGACCTTCTACAGTTTTTTTCTCTTTGGTTGAAAAACAAATCTAAATACATATTTAATTCTTTTTTAAAAATGTTATGTTAGTGTAGAGTTTGGTGTTATAAAAAAGAAATCTGTGTGCTCTATCTGGTTCTGAAATACGCAATCGTACTTTAAAGATTCTTTTTCTCAGTAAACAAACATTCAAAATAAAACAATATCTTTGAATATTCTGAGCTGTTCCTGTTTCACTAAGAAGGAAGCTAATTCAGAACCTCAGATATAGCTGTGCATCTGTGAAAGGCAGCAGCCTTTGAGAGGCACCCTATGATGTGCTGCTGAAATAATGTGATTTATTATATTTTTTCATTGCTATACTTAGTTATGCACATATTGTAACTGCATAAAAATGCAGCAACAGAATATACATATGGTTATTTGAATGTCTGTCCATGTGCACGTGTAACCTATATGTAGTGCACATATAGGTTAGTATTTATATGCATAGAAGTGCATGGAATGCCAAAAATTTGACTTTAGACATCAGATTTGTAACTGTTTCGCTTCGCGTACTTCCAATTAAACATCCAGCTGTTGTGGGAGATTCTACCTGAGTGTTTGCACAGTTTTTCCACCTGTCCTCCCCCTCATGTTCTCAGAGGTGAGGGAGTGTGCAAAGCCCCTGGAGGCACTCAACTTCACTCTTCTTTCCTCCTGGCAGAGTCCCCCTCCTGCTGTGCTAGTGTGAAGTGCTGGCTCTGGGGATAATGACAGGCAAGAGAATTTGGGTTTCGTCAGGGTGCATCAGGGATATGGGATATGATGTGCCCTTTTCTCCAGAAGATCATCCCAGAGAGAATGGTAATTAACATGGAAGAGGGGAAAATGCAACTACAGCAGTTTTCCTGCTTGGGGTATTCACTAAGTTTGTATCACATCCTGAGGTGGTTTTACCATCTTCATATGGCTGAAAGGAAAACATTGACATTTGGACTGGTCTGGCTCTGAATTTCTGGCTGTATTTGTGGTCTTTACATACCTGCCTTTATTTTTCATATTCAAAGAAGAAGGGAGATTATGTTTGGTTTAAATGCTGAAAACCATAAAACTGTTAGCTAGCTGTGGGTCATATTTGGTTACCAGATATGAGGATTTTGTTTCTTCAGCCTGTATCAGAATCAGATGAGAAAGAGTTGCAAGACTAAGCATCTAAGCATGGTCCTGTCTGCAGATTACATACAAATACAAATTAAACCTACCTACTCTGCAGACACGCTTAGCATTTAAACTGCTACAGGAAAGTCACATGAGCTGTGATACTGCAGCAGAATTTGCTGCCAAATTCTCTGGATACTTAAGGACACTGCAGAGCTCAAACTTCTGGTGCTTGATATTGTTATTCTTACTCTTAGGAATAAATGTCCCAGTCCTGTATGTTTGTGAAGTGATTCAATACTGTCTGACTTTGCAGGGAAATGTAAGCAGCCTGGGTGAGCACGAAATTGTTGCTTTCCTGTAGTCTCTCTTGAGTTCTGTAAAACCTGCTCAGTGTTTCCCCACTGATTGTTAGGCATCACCAACCAAAATTCATATGCAGTGACCCTTATGAATGCTTGAATGTTTGGCAGAATTAGGGCATGACCTTTGGAAATAATGGGGGTTTTTTTACTTCATTTGAAATCAGCAGGATCTGCTAGGACCTCTAAAAATGAGATTGTTACTGCCTGTAGTTCTAAGAAATCTGTACTTGAATGTATCTGACAGAGGGCTGCCTATTGTGGACTGTGAGAGTGCAGTATCTGACAGGGCTTTGGAAATTTAGGGACTGAGGTGTGTGATGGTTCCACAGCATGCTGCTCAACAAGCCTTATGGATGGGGTAGATGAAATCAGTGCACTGAAAGAAAGCCAACGGATCAGCTCTGTGTCCTCAGCAGAGGCTCTGCTGAGAGGATCTCTTCAGATCCCTGCTGAAGGTCAGCATGAGCTGAAGGGAAACTGTCTACCCAAACCATGTCCTCAGGCCAGGAAGGCAGGAAGGATCTCCAGGGTACACGGCCACTGCTGGGAGGGCTGGTTTCCAGACATCGTCCTTTTCTAGCTGTTGAAGAGATGAGCAAGAACCAAGTTTCAGGTTTGTTCAGCAGCTCTGCACCAGAGGCAAAGCAACAGCACACATTCTGTGCTTCAGCTACTGCTGCCAGCAGCTTTTGCAGGGCCACACAGGCACCAGCAGATAAGTGTTTGTGCTGATCACACTCTGGGCAGAATATATTAAATCTGTCATTAAAATGTCACTTTCATGTAGGTTCATGTAACAGAATGGGAATTATTTTGAGGCAACCTGTGAGAGAGAAGTCCTTGGCAATGAACAAAAATCAAACAGCCAAGCAATAAAGCCTGGCACATTTGTTTGAATTTGCCACCTGCAGGTCCCACATTCCCTACTCTGCCAACAAGCCCATTTTTTTGTCTCCCGAGCTCTGCTGCAGTTCATCTCCCACAGAGGACGGTTCTTCTGTAGTGGAGCCAGGGAGCTTGGGATATTTCTGGCCTGACGGTGAAGGAGCAACACACCCTAATGCCAAGCTAAATTCAATTGTGTTATACACCGCAAGGGAATTCGAGTTCCTATTTTGATATTCCAAAGACATGATCCTTAGATAAAACTTTGCTTGGTCAATACCCCTTTTGCAAAAGAGGACATCCAGATACTTGCAATGGCGTGTTACCATCCCTGGTATGGTGACCCATGGGTGGACATGTTGCTTCCACAGTCTGGAGGAAGACAGTGGGTGGAGTTCTTTCAGAAGCCAAGGGAGCATATCTGTGGAATGGCTAATGGCAATTAAAAATTGCCATACAGTGGCAGTAGCAGTTTTGCTCAAAATTGTCTCTGAGTGCAACAGCCTGAACCAGCAGGAATGATTAAGCTTAACAGGATGTTAGTAAGACAAGCAAAACTTACTGCTTTCACGGCAGTGTTTTTTTAAGACCTGTGGATCCTTTTAAAATTGTAGTATGGTCTATATATGTGAATGAGAGGACCTCAATTACTTAGAAATGACAGAGCTAGATCAATAACTACCATGTTATTTCTGAAGTATGCTTTACTACTTCTGGAAGTTAAATTTGGTGAGATTGTTTTACAGATTTAAGCTTTGATCAGTGTGTTATAAATATGTGTGCTTATATGTTATGTTTGCTTTGCAGCTCCTGGTTGCTAAATCGCCTGTTGCTCCATTCTCCGCTTTTTTCTACACCATTGAGAAATCAGGCTTGGTTCTTCAGGGTAAGACGAGAGCATTGGTTGTTTTGCCTTTTCAATTAGTATTTTAAGCAGACTGAATGTAGATAACAGCAACTATTGTTGAAAATGGTGCTATTTATGCCTAATTAAAGCCCCACACATTTAAACAGCCTGGTTGACAAGGGCAGCCTTGTGCTGCATTTACTAATTTGTCTTGGATTACACTAAATTAGTTTTTGTATATTGCCATGGATCTAGGAATGGGCCCTGAAATTATTAATCAAGGCTCCCTGTTTTCCTTCAAGGTAAAGTGAAATGATTCTGGTAACATTGGTCCTATGGGATAGATTTCTTCAGGAAAAACATACCCATCTGTCATTAATAACCTGCTCTAATAAATGTCTCTTCTTTAGCAAGTGGCTTGACATCAGTAAAAATACAGGAAATTAATATCTGTTTTCTATATTTGTGATCATTTTAATGCTAATGCCCCATGGTCTTAAATAATCCTCAGATTCTCTGGGATATGAAGTAGTATACTGAAAAGCTGGATATTACCACCATGATGGCAGGGAACTAGGAGTCCTTGTGACCATGTCCTAAATCATGTACTTTCAGACCACAGCAAAGAAAGAAGTTCAGCTCTTCCCTTCTTTTCCCCATTTATCCCAATAAACATCCTTACTTTTTGACAGACATTCATAGACCAATTTTGTTGAGTTGCTGTCTGTTGATACGCAGCCTGGCTCCTTATCGCTGCGTCAGTTTAACAGACTAAATAAAACTAGTCAGTGCCTGTCAGCTTTTGCTCAGAAGAGACAGTGTGATATGCAGCCATGGCAGTAAGAAGAGCGAGTATAGCTGTTTCTCAGGTTCCAGTGATTGAGAATCACTGATCCCATGAGTGACTATGGACATTTTAAGAGATGTGAACAGTTCTTTCTGATTGCATGTTTCTCATCTTCAAACAGGCTGTACCATACCAATGACTTTTATATTTTCTCATGACTCAATGTGCTTACATCTCAGGTGATGCAAAATGTCAGAAAACAAAAGAAATAAAAATGTTTTATGGTGTGTTTTTGCTTCCATTTGATACATCTACATAATGATAATGGGGACAGGGGTCCATCCAGTGTTTCTAAGCCTTTAGATACTATACTCAGTGTATTCTTAGATAGCATTTTGGGCATTTGATCTGCCTTATTTGGTGCCAGTAATTGTAAAAGTCTATAGGAACTAGAAAAAAAATGTATTAGTTTAAACTGAGGTTACTTGCAAGAGTTGGTCTTGACATGTTTTGTTTCAATGTAGGGCTGAAGATAAGCTACTTTTCTATTTGGATGTCTTCTGGGTTACATAGATGTTTCTGGTCATTATAAAAAAAATCAGTTTCCTGCTCTGTCCTCAGGCACTAATGTAGTGAAACTTTGGGAAAGAAAGTTTTCCCATTTCAGAAACAGAGAGCATTTGTTCAGAGAGGATGTTTATTTTTTCAGTTCTTTTCTGTGGGCCATGAATATAGCTTTCCCAGGACTGAACCCTACCTTTAAAGAACAAATGGGCCTGTTTACACTTAATGGTGATGGAACAGCACTCTCTGATAGAAGGATATCACTGTATTAGGAGTGTGGCAATTGCTGATTTCCCTATATCTGTATGTTTCTGGGGTGTAAATTTAAAACATCATTTGCCATTTTTCTAAAAACAGGTGAGATACCAGTTTGGATTTCTTTAAATAAATGATATCTCAATATCAGGCATTCTTTGTACATTTTGGAAGGCAGCTAGAAGCTCGTCTTTGTGTGAGCCTTTTATTATGTTAACTACACCATTATGTTTCTACTTCAGATATTTTTCTCCAACAGGGGTAGCAAGGAAGGGCATGGTTCCCCTGGTAATGTGCCCCAGACTGTTTTACAGAGACTTGTAAGCACTTACATGTGAGCCATCTCCCTGACCTGTGCAAAGTAAATATTGCATGTTCTCATCCCACATTTCAATGATCATTATTTCTGTGGAAAGAGGAAGTGAGCAAATCACCAGGAAATGGCTGGTTTGGATTAGATGCAGGAAGTGGCACCAGGCTGCCTTGTGCAAGAGAAGCTAGAGTTTTCCTGAGAGTTGTAGTTGGTGCTTCTTTCCAAAGGGAAGCTGGATGCAAGGTAAGATGAGAGCAAGGTAACTGGCCATGGATCAGCTGGTGATGAAGTATCTCTGTGTTGCTGCTTAAGAGACATCATGTAGCACTAACAAGTGGAATCTGTCCTGCAGCCTGACTGCAAATGCAACTGTCCCGTTCAGGCTTTGTTGTTTAATTCAGTTGGTGTCAGGAGGTGAGCACATTCAGTGTGGCTGATGAGAACAAGTGGATGGGTGTGGGAACTGGTGAGAAACAGCAGCTGGCTGAAGTGCCCAGGATTCTTTCTTTTTACTCAGGGGGTCCCATCCCGGGACCATTAACCAATAGGCCATAAACAAATTGATATCGGAAAATGTGGCTGGAAGCTCCTTGATTAGCAAGGGTGAATGGGGAATGAAAGACAAAGTGAAAGTGTGATTTAACAGTTCCACAGGCAATTTCCATTGCCACCTCTGAGGGATTAGGATGTATGGAATAGGCTAAAAAAAAAAAAAAAAGAGGAGTAGCTCCCCCCCTCTTTGTTCTGTGGACTGGAGGATAATAAAACGGCAGGAGAGGCAGTGTGGCTAGTTAGGGATTTCACAGACTGCTATTTGATGCAGTTTAAGGAGCCCTTCTACCATTGTTGCAGTTAAAATGAGAAGCGGAACTGTTCTCCATTCGCAAAAATCTCCAGCGTCCTCAGGAAGAGGGCTGAGAGCAAAAGGCTATTAAGATGGTAATGCTGTCCCATTTGGAGGAGTGTATCAAAATCCTCTTTGTCAATGTAAATCGCTGTTCTGTTTCCCTGGTATCTTTGCATCTCATGGCCTCTGCAAGCACAGAAGTTTTTGGAGGAGATCCTAGTGAAGGCAGAACTGCTTCTCTTTTATTGTCAGAGGAGATCTCCAGGCTGCCCAAGGGTGCCATGGAGAAAACTTCTTTGCTTTTATAAACTTTAAGTGTTCAGGGATGAAGAGAATCCATTTACTCACTCACTCTTTAATTCCACATTCAGACTAAAGAAATTAAATTTGATGATTTGTAAGCAAGATTGGACAGTCAGAGACTTAGCAAGGAAACTTTTGAGTTTCATCCTTTTGTTGCTTCAGTATGCTCTGTGCTGTGGAGGGAGTGGACTGCAAACCCAAAAATATTCCTCAGTTGCCTTTACATTGCAATACAATGTCATGTCATGTACTGCCATGCTGTACAGTGACACTCTGTAATGAACCTAATTGTGAGTGCAGAATCCAGTCTGAAAGCAGATCTCTATTTTGCAGAGATCTTAGACGAAGAGGCAGAAGCCTGGATCTAAGCACTGCAAAATATTGGAAGTATAACTGTCAACTTGTGTATGCTGTTTAAGGACTTGCTGTTGCTTCCCTATTTCAATATACCAGTTAAAGTGAGTGCAGTTATATTGTTAAAAAGAAAAATAACAATAAAAAAGCTACAGATTGTTTAAGAGTGCAAGTCATAAAATTATTTTTCTCATTGGCAGTGATATAATTTCTGATTTGATTGGAAATTATTAGCTGGTAATTCTGTTCCTAGTGTAACAGTCAGAAGAGATTCGGAGCTGTTCTTGCCTGGTTGTAGTTTTGTTGAAGTTGAATGTAGCACATACAGGGTTAGGTCAGCTGAACTAGAAGATGCCACTTAGCCTTGCACACACATATGCAAAAAACACAGGCTGAATAAACTGATGTCAGTTTTAATCTGTATTCTGTGGGTGATTATCTGAGTCCAGCTTTTGAAGCAGCAGTGTTCTGGGGTATAAATACAAGCTAGCAACAAGCCTAACTATTAGCAACTGATAACTCTGCTGTTTGTGGTAGTCTCATTCCATCTTACTTAAGTAAATGCTTTCTGTTACCAAGAGGATGGTGGTGTGAAAGAAGATAGGGAACACGGTGGCTGCTTACCAACTGAAGATTCTAGTGGGACTTTTAACTGAATGCTTTAACTAAGTGATTAACATTGCTCTTCACTGAAAAAACTCAGAAGCACTGAAAACATAAGGCAAATTATATTAGTGAGCTAGGACTTGCTTTTGAGTAATGATTTATTTTCATAGGGTTTAAAAGATAGGTAGAATTAGCAATTCATCCAAACTGACCTCCCATATATCATACATGTTTCTTTCAGGTACCTGGTAACTTACATTACACTGAATTGTGTCTTTTAGAAAGGTATTCACTTTTGTTTGAAGACATGTGAGTTCCTGGTTTGCCTTGATAGTGTTTTCAAGTTTTAGCTACGTTGCTGCTAAACACTTGTTCTGTATTTCAGATTAGAATTTGTCTGCTTTCAGCTTTTAGCCTCAGTTCTTCTCATGACCTTCAATGCTAAATAAAGCTCTATTGCTATCAAATGGTTGCTATTTTTCATGAGTGTACTTGGCATTGTGATTTCTCTATGCTATGCTATGTTTTACTCTTCCTTTTGAAAGAAAGTTATAACTCTGTAAATATAACCTCAAAACTTTTGTGTGTCATGCTGACTGGCTCTCCTCACTATTCAAAGAAAGGACAGAATACCTTGTATTGCTAAAGGGAAGAGTTTGCGTTTTGTGCCACAGGATGGGATGATTAGTTAGTCGATTATTCCACCCTTTCTCCTGCCCTCTTTTCCACTGCACACAATCTGTCTTAACACAAACGTGCTCACTTGCATGTAATGTCTTATTGAGACAGGTAACTTCTGATAAGTAGAAACAAAAGAATGTGGCACTTGGAAGAGAGTGTCCTAGGTTTCACAGTACTAAGGGAAAAGTTGTAGTAACAGCTAAATCTAGGGAAACCTTGGTACATTAGTTTCATTTGTCCCTAAAGTAATGAAAGAGGCTCATTTCGATCTCAAAATAGCAAAGGGTCTGGGTTTGTAGTGCAGCATGGCAAACTGTCTCCAAAGTGCT